CCACATGTACTCACACTGCCGCTCACTCTCACACTAACGCGCGCTCTTTCTTTGCTGCACGCACTCACTGTGCGCGTATTTCCTTTCTCCTTCTCTCCCTTCACTGCCGCATGCACTCCACCGCGCGCATTTTCTTTCTCCTTGTCTCCCTTCGTTACCGCTCGCACTCCACCGCACGCGTTTCCTTTCTCCTTCTCTCCCTTCACTGCCACGTGCACTCCGCTGCCTGCGTTTCCTTTCTTCTTCTCTTCCTTCACTGCCTCGCGCACTCCGCCGCGCGCATTTCCTTTCTCCTTCTCTCCCTTCACTGCAGCGCGCACTCCGCTGAACGCGTTTCTTTTCTCCTTTGCTTCCTTCACTGCTGCGCGCACTTTGCCGCCCGTGTTTCCTTTCTCCTGGAAGTCTGGGTCATTACAATAAATAAAAGTACACAAGACTATTGCCTCTTCCAGGAAATTTTAAAAAAATCTAGGCATGCTTTAAGAGCAGCAAAATGTTTAAGTGCACATTCATAGCAAGCTATGTGATCGGAATAAAGCTAGCTATGCAAAAATCTCACTAAAATTACGAGGAAAGGATAGAAGTATATCTAAAAAGAGTGAATAAGTACATCTAAATGGGCCAAAATCTAATATACCCATCTCTCTCTCTGGCAATGAATGACACCACATAGATCTGCCAATAAAATCACAAACCCAAAAAAAAATATTTCGATGAAAAAATAAATGCCTTCTAATATTTTAAGTCGGAAGAGAAACCCAATTAATATGGGTGATTTTCAAGGGGATCTAAAGGTCAAAATTTTAATTGGAAAATGGGGATAAATAGAATTTTATCGAAAATTGAAAGAACCTCAAATATAAAAAATTGAAGAAAATAGCTACCCAGAAAATATTTTTTAAATATTAAGGCATAGTTTATACATCATATATAAAGAGGATTCAACCATTGTTTTTAATGCACTGAAAAAAACCAAAAAAAGAAACAAAAAAAAGGGGAAAATCATCTTCTTTTTTGGGGCTTGTTGGGTGTATTTTTGTTGCATACAAGACTAAATACATTCTAATGAGCACTCAAGAAAGATTGAGGTGATTATGAGACAAGGGTTATAATGCACGCTAGATGAATGCCTTCATGATGGATAAGTCTGGTAAGCTTAAAACCCAGAAAATGTGCCTAAGGGTTAAGTATGCTTCTAGTCTTCCTATAAAGCTAAGTTTATTCTAACCAATGCTTGATAGAGGTGTTGATATAAAGCGTAACTTTTGTAACAAACGTTGGACAAGCGTGAGTTTTGTAACACATGTTGGATAAGTTGTCTTAATGAATGTTGGATGAAAGATATATAGGTTTGACAAGCTTAGCCTTTGAAGGTATATCTTGGAGGATAAACATGTTTCTTAGTCCTCATAATAAGACTAAGTGCATTTTAACAAATGCTTGATAGATTGAATGTATCAAATATAGAACAAAGTCGATAATGTACGTTGGATAACTATCTTAATATACGGTCAATAGAGCACAGTTCTTGATAACACCTGATCAAATATGCTCCATAATATGAAGATATGATCTGAAAGATATGATATGCTCAAGATTCGTGATATGAAGGCCGCAATATGCCTTGGGAACCCTGACTCGTCAATCAACCTCTATATGTTCTGACTCACGACCGATAATAGACTTCTTTGGGTGAGATGTGATATGACTTTTTTAAACCACCAATTAAGAATATGGGGTTTTAATAGACAGAGCATAAGGGAAACCTCGTCATAAGTTGATATGTTGAGGTAAATCCCTGAAGATATACATGTTGAGGCATTATATGTCTTAAAGTCCAGGAGTGATATAACTTGGGAAATATTTATAATTGGCTTAACCCATATCCATATCCACTGTCGATTAAGATACACGTTGACTGACACCCCAAAACTTCATGTTTTGGAATTAAGCCGATACTCTCAGGGGCTTATGTTCGAGGCGTCAAAGCTCGTGCCCCAAAGTTTCGTATTGCTTGGAGGTGAATTCACTCATCATCCGCATAGCCTGGCAATGAAAGTCTTAAAAGCTTCATGCTCCATACGTTACAACCAGGATGACACGCAATTACTAAAATGAACATTTCTTTATTAATAGGATGAATTTTCTTATGAGGCCATGACCGTTGGATTCTTGACTCGATGTTTTATCACCCTTAGAAGATATAACATTGATTGACATGTATATTGGAAGTAGTTGCATCTGCAATTGACTGTTATTACTAACACTATTTCCAGCAAAAACACAATACCTTGAATGGACCATATCTCTCTCATTTGAGGTCCATATTGAAGTGAGATTTGGACTATCATGTTTGACTCTGAGTCCTCTGTCAGTCTTCCAAATTTCATGATCAAATGACTGGGCATCTAAAAGTGGTTGAGGAAATATGAAAGAATGTCACAACTGCGCTGCAGAGTTGAATTGTTGGGCGATGGAGGACGGGGATAATAGATTCCTTGATTTTGGTCATATGAAGATTTTGTTGGGTCTGAAGCTTGTGAATTAAAAATTGAATAATATAAGAATAAACATTGACTAAAAGAAGTGGTTATCAGCAATTGATATTCGTTCGCATATGGATATATTCAAATCTTATGATTGTCATTTGAAAACAATGTGATAAGAATGTGTGATCCACAGTTTTGTGATTTTAAAGAGAAGATAAGTTTGAGATGGAGATGAAGGGTGCATATTAAAGAGATAGCAGATGCATGATTATCATTTAAAGACTATGGCCTATCAACACAAGAAAAAAGGATAAAAAACCCATACTCTCATCATCGAGAAGGTTCGCATCTTTTCAAGGGTAGAAGGCTTTTTGG